CAGGGAGGTCCCTGGTGCAAGGCAGCACGTGGCTGCTGTCCACGGGGATCAGCGTGGACTGTTCTCCGCCGGGGTTACACTGGTGTGCTCCTGCCGTGTCAGGGGACCCTCGTGCGGAGTGGCACGCTCCCTGTGAGCCTGCAGGCTCCCTCTGCACTCATTCCAGTCAGGCCCTTTCCCCACCCGCAGCCCCTGGGCGGAAACGCGCTCTCCTCCGAGGAAGCAGAGGGAAACTTCCGGCCCATGGATCAGCGTGGACTGTTCTCCGCCGGGGTTACACTGGTGTGCTCCTGCCGTGTCAGGGGACCCTCGTGCGGAGTGGCACGCTCCCTGTGAGCCTGCAGGCTCCCTCTGCACTCATTCCAGTCAGGCCCTTTCCCCACCCGCAGCCCCTGGGCGGAAACGCGCTCTCCTCCGAGGAAGCAGAGGGAAACTTCCGGCCCATCTGGGGGGTGAGACCCTGGGCCAGTGAGTCCAGCCGCAGAGCAGAGCCAGGGGCCTCACGGCGTGTGCATGCGGGTCTGCGCCCGGGCAGGCCTGCACACCCGTGTGTCAGTGCAGGGACAGGATGCCTGTGCCCGTCGGCCCACGCGTGGGGGTGTGAGAGCTGCTCTGTGTCTCCGCATAGCTAGCCATGGAGAGCAGCAGGACTAGAACTCACCGCGGTTCTCCCTTTGCAAACAGCGTCGTCTCGCAGCGGCCCCAGCCGTGGGCTCTGCGCTCGGAGAAAAGCAAAACCAGCACTAATGCGCGAATTTGGGGCTGGGGCTGGGGCTGGCCTGGGAGCCCGGCGGCTGGGGCGGCAGGCCCAAAGGGGGCAGGGCACAGGGTTGGGCTGGGTCCAGCCTCACCTGGCAAGAGCCAGCGGGGCAGAGGGGCAGGAGAGGCAGCGTCTGGAGAGGGCAGAGGACGAGAGCTGCAGGGGGCCGCTGGATGACCAGTCAGGGGCCTTCACAAGAGTCCCCGCTGGCCATTAGCCCACTGGCCGAACCGACGTGGGACTCCAGCTCCGGAGAGGCTGGG